TTTCAGCTTTTCAACAAGCAGGATTGCCTCAGGGCAAATAAGGAAGAAAAACGTAGAGGAGAATTTAGAGGCATCCTAACTGTTTGATTCAGTGTCATGGCATTTTATAGAGGACGTGTATAAAGTGAAACAAATCTAACAACACACAGAGCCCAGTAAATACATTATAGGTGGAACCTCTCTAATCCAGCACACTTGGGACCTGACCAGAGAATTTGCTGAACCCCAGGACATCAGTACTGTCTAGCAGCATCACCAGCACTGCTACTACTTACTGGGCTGTTAGAAGACATTGAGGGGTAAATTAAAGCTAAATAGCAGCACAGAACATTGAGAGCCAGGACTGGTGGCTGTAAACAAACTTTACGGGACTGCAGGAAACTTGGCCACACCCAGGATCAGTGGGCATCCGGCTAACTCGAATCATGCCGGACCACGGATGTTTCAGGACCAGAGAGTGCCAGACTAGCAAGGGTCAGCCTGTACTGCAAAGCCACCAGGCAGGAGAGGAATGCATATCAGACACACTAAATTGTAGTTCACTCCTAAGGCACAATACTGTAGTAAAAACTAAGTGTGCTTCTTCCCCTCCATTGCTTAAGCTCGAAACAGCACGTATCATTTAGCTGATTGCACGTGTCTTAGAAGCTGCTAAACTTTCTGCCAGGGAACTGAGTAAACTTGCAGTAACCAATCACGTTGCGACATGCTGACCAGAAAGAATGTGAAATCTATAAAAGTGTCAGCTCAGGCGATGCTCAAGGTCGACCCTGCTTTGAGCACTGAGCTCCTGGGCAGAACTTGTTTGCAAACAATAAAATAGAGTTGGACCCAGCCTGAAAGTGTGACTCTCTTCTTGAGGCAAATTGAACTAGCCTCCAGGGGACGAAACTAGCAATTTATGCAACAATACAGTCCAGGCAAGAGTGTGTACTATGAAGAGCTGAACAGCACAACTGGTGGCCCAGTCTATAGGCAACAGTTACATTGGGTTAGCTAAACTGGTTTCTGAACCAGATTAGTTCCATTGGTGCAACCCATTTGACAGGAAAGTGTTAAACTAGTTCCAAGTGGCTAACGCAGCAAAGGAAAGCACCCTTAAACCAAGCTTAGAGTCTCTGCAAGCCGAGGCTGTGCCAATTGAACTGTACGTATTGAGAAACATGGGTAGCTGGTGCAATTCCTGTGTGGAAAACAGGCTCCATTTAGGGCGGGGTGGGGGGAGAGGGATGTGTGTGTGCAGGCGGGCCTTAGGATTCCTGGGGCCCCTAGGCCCAATGGCAGCCGGGCATGGGGGATGATTTTTTAGAGATGTGATTTTATAATCGTCAGCACCACACTAATGAAATATCTTTAAAGCAAATAAGCTACGGTCCTGTCGACTAACATGGTACAGCAGAAATTGGCCGTGTATACTTAGGCTGACAAATGCCAGTTACGTGGCATCAATACCACTTGAATGGCTCTTTCACAGGGTCGATGTGCTGCTAAGAGCTCTGTCAGGCTGTGTCACTCATAAGTTAACTAGCTTCTCTCCGGACGGAGCAGAGCCGCAGACCAGAGACAGGAAGAGGTGGGTGGATGGACATTAAGACCCAGGGATTTTCAGGTGCCCTACGCAGCTACATAGTCTGCGTCTGGGTGACGGCCCTATGTGAGTGGAGGGGGGTAATATTTTTTTCTATCAACTTCCATTTTGGGCAACGTGGAAGTTTTAGCACCTTGGAGAAGATGTGGAGGCTAATGGATATAATCCGGGGTCTCCGCGGATTTGCAGGCCTCTAAGCATATGGACCATTGCTCTGTTCCGGTGGGACATGCCTGGCATATTGACCACCCTCGTGGCAAGCCCAGAACGATCATTTTGAGGGGTTGTGGTGGAAATCTCACTGGAACACTGCACCATCTGCCAGCCTAAATGCTTTAAGCAGAGTGGGGAAGCAGGGCTTCTGTATTGCAGCCTGCACAGAACTCCTGCTCCCTGTCACATGTGTAGTAATGCACCAAGCAAAGAGCATTGGTTTCTGATATAGGTTTATAATGGATTTTATCTTAAAATAATAAAGCAGTATACACAACATACACATGACTTTCACAAAGAGCCACTGTTATATTAGTTTACTTTAAAACCTACCAGTCTCTTCACAGTCTCTTTGCTCTCTTTCTCTGTATAGAGCTCTCTCTATAATTTTTCCTCTAGCAGTTATTCAGATTTTGGTTGACAATTTGCAACTCCACCTGTCATCTTCACTGAGGAGCAGGAAGAAAAGTCCACTGACCAAAAGTTGCTCTTGTTCAGCTTATGTCTATAGTGCAGCCAGGCATTAACACGCTGGGTCTGTTTGAGTGAAACAGTGGGGACCGTCAGCCTTGCCTAGGGCTTTGTAGCCTCCTGTGTTGGGTCTTGCCAAAACACAAAGCAAAGAGCTTTCCGCAAGGGTTTCAGATTTTGCCGTAGATTGGTGATGGTTGTTTTGTGGCTTGTTTTGTGTTTTGTTTTGCTAGTGAAATTAAATGTATAGTAACAAAATTCTTTCTGGAGCCCGTGCAGGGATACTCAGTCAATCACGTTCCACTGAGCAGTCTCAAGTTCGTAAGGACTGCACTGACGTTTTGCAAGCCGACAACGGGCAGAGGATGCTTCACAGTGTAAGCAATGATTGCAAACTCCTAGGGAAGAGAATAACTTTGCGGAGCAAGTTGGCAGGGTCCACGGGATCTCCTGGGAAATGTAGTCCTGTCTTTAGTGCTTTGCAGAACGAATTAAATAAAAGCCATGCAGCTGAACTACAGCTCCCAGAATGCCAGGCCCACGGGGCCCAGGTCCTGCGTAAGTTTGTTTTGTCCCCTCTTGGGTTCCTTCCTCCTCAGGTCTGGTCTAACCACTCGGCCCGCTTCGGTGCTTTGCACGTGTGCACGTCCACGGTGTCCTCGCACTCCTTGCAGCGCACTGCGCAGCACCAGTGGAACTTGCACTCGCACTTGGTGACTCGCGTGACACGGGTGGTGTCATAGCCCCGGCCACAGCACATGACCTCGCAGCCGTCGGTCCCACGCGACAGCTTATTGCACACACGACCCGCTGTCCCCAGGGAACCTGTGGGGAGGAAGCCAGGGTCCATTACACTGTCTGGGAACGAAACCACCCCCTTGTGACCCTTGGTGTAGTTCTCTGGGCACTGTCCCAGCCATTGCTACCACCAGCCAACACTGCTTTCTGCAACCAGCTACTGCCCATTAGATTGTCAGGCCTTTGGGCCAGGGCCTGCCTTCTTTGTTCTCTGTACCGCACCTCCCATGATGGGACCAGGTCAGGATTGGGGGGGCCACTAGCAATGTTCCCTCTAATTTTTCCCCCATCCGTGTGCAGAATAATTTTTTTTATGTGCACCAAGTGCAGATGTGCACCAGTAGACACATGCTGACAGTATGCTCAACTGCTCAGCTTACAGGGAACTATTAGGTCATACCACCATGTAAGTTGGCGAGACTGAGTTTAAACACGTGCTATTTTAGCCGTGCATGAACTGATAGTTTTCTGACTTCAGAAGGTTCTAAGATGCAAGGATTGTACTGGGCCTTGTGGTTCAACAGCAATAAGTTCGTGGCTATGTGGACCTAGTCCCAAAGGGCTCAACTGCTCAGCTTACAGGGAACTATTAGGTCATACCACCATGTAAGTTGGCGAGACTGAGTTTAAACACGTGCTATTTTAGCCGTGCATGAACTGATAGTTTTCTGACTTCAGAAGGTTCTAAGATGCAAGGATTGTACTGGGCCTTGTGGTTCAACAGCAATAAGTTCGTGGCTATGTGGACCTAGTCCCAAAGGCCCTTCCATTCCTCCCATTTGCCGCTGGTGTCCGTGCCCTCTGCCGGCTATGGCCCTCCCCTGGGGCAGAGTTCCAGCGCCCGGTCTGTGTATGATGGGGTGCTCGAGGTGGAAGGGCTCGAAGGCAGAAACACCTCTGTGCCGCTGCTGCATAGAGGTGGGGCGAGCGGCTCATTGAAATGTGGGTGCCATTTCTTCATTGCTAGTGTTGCTCCCACACACACGGCCAGTGCCATCACACACCAGGCCGATGCTTTCTCTGCAGTGGCCCCAGGCCCGTGCGGGGCAGCGCCTGGCCACGCTGACTCCAAAGCCTGTGGCAACAGCTCGCACTCATCCTGCGTGGCTGCGTGCCGGCCCAGTGTGCCAAGAAAGGCCCAGGGGTCAGAGAGAAACAACTGCCGTGCAAATCTATCCGGGCCCAATTTCTGCCCCTCGCTCCAATCTCGATCAAAGCCCCCCTGCTTGCAGCGGGCCCCGTGTGTCAACAGCCCTGCCGGGGAGGGCGGCAGGCTGCCGGGAAAGGCACTGAGAAGTCTGACAGGAGTTTCCCGGGGTGAGGAAGGCAAACACCCGTGGGCTGGCTGGCCCCGGGCTGCTGGGACACCTCGCTGATAGTATCTTGGCTGCGAGCAGCCACCAGCCCTGGCTTGGTACCGAGTGACACACACAGCAGTCAGCAGGTGTGCAGGTGGATGGGGGTGCCCAGAGAGGGGCTTCTGCCTCCTTCCCAGCAGCTGCCTGGCAGCTACCATTCACCATTTTTTCACACCTTGATGTGTGTTCGCTTGGGCGGCTACACGATCCACACCAGACTGGGCTGATGTCTCACTGAAGCCCTGCCCTGTTGCCTGAGTCACCTCTGATTTCCCAGACACACCCGCCCTCTTCCGGTCCTCCCAGCTACCTACAGCAGCTCCCAGAGCAGCGCCCCGGTGTCCCAGACTATCCCACTGGCTACAGTCACACTGTCACAACCACAGACTTTTCTGGCTGGGGAGATGCTGTTTGGTTTTTCAGTTTAAGGGTTTTTTCCCCCATCTCATGAGACATTGCCCATAAGGGGATGTGTTGCAACTCTCGCTGGGTTTGTGAGGCCTTCCCGGGGGGAGGGAAGGGAACAGAGATGGCTCTGGAACCTGGATCAGCAGAGAACGCATAGCGGGGACGTTACCCGACGTTCTACCTTAGTTACCCGATGTTCTACCTTCGTTACCCGATGTTCTACCTTGCTGCTTCTGTCCCAGCCCCAGCCGCAGGAGTTCAACCCTCGCTTTTTGCTAGGCTGCTCTCTCTACCTATGCAAGCTGAATATGCAGCAGTAACCTGCCGGGAGGCTGTAGCTGGGTAGGTTCCACCATACTAGAGTGGCAAGGTGGGGAAGGTAATATCATTACTGGACCAAATTCTACTGGGAAGAGAGATAAGCTGCTGGGAGGGAAAGCTCTGAGGGGCTTCAGAAGTGGTTCCAATAACGGGCCATCTTAGCCCCCTTGTCTCTCTCAGTGGCAAGCAGGTTAGATAGCCCTGCACTGCCTGAATTGGACAATTAGGCTGAGCGCTAATAGCCCTGGGGGAGGGGGCTGTGGGAGTCCCTCCGTGGGGTAGCAGGAGGAGGCCTGAGAGGGGATGAGAGGTTGTGCTAGATTCCCCAACGGCTCGTGGGACGGAGTCTTACCTGCCGACTTGTCCATCACGCAGTAATCAGGAGAGTTCTCAAAGTACACCAGGTCTGTTTTGGTGGGTTTCCTGAAGTTCTTGTTGGCCACGGTGAAGCCGGTGCCGTCCTGGTTCATTGTCACCTGGATGGCCCCGTTGTATTTCTTCCGAAGGTAGTCGCCAGTTCTCCGAAAATCAGACAGGGCCAGCCAGCACGTCCTGAGGGTGCAGGAGCCGCTGACTCCGTGGCATTTGCACTCCAGCTGCAGGAATCGCTTGACAGCCTGTCAGAGAGAAGTGGCCATGAGGGAACGGTAAGGCTGAGCCAGCACATTGCACTCAGGTGGGTCAGGTGCCAGCCACAGAAGCTCAGCCTGCTCGTTTCTTGCCCCTGGGGGGGTGGGGGTAGCTAATGGGTAGAGGCGGGGAGTTCTGTGAGCCAAAGGGACGCTCTGGAAAATCGCAAATGATTTTGTGCAACCCCCGATGAGTCCTTGCTGCTCAGCTCCCTGGGGTGACAGAAGAAGGCCACAAATCTCTCACCCCTTGCAACAGCTCTGACACCAAAAGGCCACAGGCGTGGATTATAAACAGGACACGCCTCAGTTGAAAGCAGGTCTGTGTTACTGCTAGTTGTTTTGACCTGGGGCCCTTTAAACTGGAGTGGGGGTGGGAGGAGCGATGAGATGAATTGAGAGAAGGAAGCTTTCAGCCTCAGGCCATTTATAAAACTGAACTCGTGCCCTGGAGAAAGGTTAGGGGTTGGGGCCTGTCCAGATAGGGGTGCCCTTTCACAGACTCACACCTGACTTCAGTGCTAATTGGGTGTGACGGTGTATGCTATTAATGTTCCCCCCTTGGACAAGACTATGATAGTGGTACAAAGTATGCCCTGTGAAACATCATAATCTGCTGAACATTATCCTGTAAAACGTGTGTTGACCATGTATATATTATTACAAGATTTTACTGTATAACATTGCTGTAACATGTTCCAGATTCAGAAAGACAGACCCAAACCAGTTCTACAAAGGCACTCGGGCACACCCACACAGGCATCGACAAATTCATGTGGGGGTATCACTTAGTCAAGTGAACATTCTCCAGCAACGGGAAGGCGTGAATGAGAAATCTACATTTCATCACAGGGACAGTCAAACATTCACATCCACAAGAGACTATTTGTCCCCTCAAAGAGGGGAGACTGGTATAAGAATGAGAGACAGCAGCCTCAGATCACCTCTCTCTCCCTCCGTCTTCCCTCACAGCCGCTGCAATGCTGCAAAGACAAAGCAAGCAAGGTGGTCCTCGCTGGCCGGCTTTTCAGAATACTGTAAATGTATGGCGAGACAAAACCTTGCGCTTTTAAGTTCACTTAGCTTGTTCAGTTAGGGAGTAGCTGGTGGTTTATTCATTTCTTCTGTGGCCAACCCTGACTTTGATGCATCATCCTTTGTAACCACTTACAATTTATCTTTTTGTAGTTAATAAAATTATGTTCTTGTTCAGTCTGAACCAGTATGTGATTAAAGTGTGTGGGAAACTCCATCTGGGGTCACAAGCCTGGTGCCTGTCCTTGTCCCCTGAAGAAATGAGGCATGTTTTAGGACCCCACATTTCTCAGCAGTGTGCTGAGAGCGCAAGACACACATTTCTGGGGAGGGGCGGGCATGAGGCTGTAACCAGGATTCTGCTGGGGTTCTTCGGCAGTGCAGTTCATGTGTGGCTCACTAGTAGCCCTCAGTTCTGTGCTGATGGGCACAGGCAAGCTGGGGACAGGTTAGGCTCTGTCCAGAAGGGGATGCCACTTCCCAGACCCAGGCCTGTCTTCAGCGCTAATGGAGTGTGATGGTCTATACTCTTACCTTCCCCACTTGGACAAGACTATGATAAATATTACAAAGTATGCCTTGGGAGAAATTGTTTGAAACATCATAAGCTGCTGAACATTATTGTCCTGTAAAATGTGGGTCAGCCATGTATTTACAATTACAAATTTCTACTCTGTAATGTTGCTGTAACACGTTCCAGAGTCAGAAAGGCAGATCCAAACCAGTTCTCCAAAGGCACACCCACGCAGTGACATGCTGGAGGCTGTGTGTACGTGGGCTAGGAGTGGCTGCTCACCAGGCAAGCAGTGGGAAAGGAGCACTGATGAGACACAGCTCATCAGCAGTCCAGAGTGCACCCTGGGGAATGTCACATGGGGATCTGCCTTCCTTGAGGCCAGTGAGGCTACAGGGAGGGCTGCAGTCCCTGGAGGCCCACAGGATCCATCTGCTCCGCAGGTTGATGCTTTGGGCTGCAGGGAGCTGGTGCTCGCTGCTCCTCCATGTTCCCAGCAGGGCCGGTAGGAGCCTGAGCTTTGCTGCAGAGAAGAGCGTGGAGGCCTGTACTGGGCTGCTGTGAGAGATGCCCAGTTAACCGGGGGTCCTGTGGGGCTGCACTTTGGGGGCTGAATGTGCTGTTCCCAGCCTCCTTTCCCCCGTACAAACTAGCACTGCTGTGCGCATGCAGCTGGGGCAGGGGTACAGCCAGGCCAGGGCATTCTGGCCAATGGGGCTGGCGTGGGCTGCAACAGGGAGGAGATGCCGCAGCGAGGCAGGAAATCCGCTTTCCTGACAGGCCCCAGCGGCCGACCGGGGCTGCTGCCAGGGGTCTGGGACAGCTGCTGCGCAGGGAGAACAGGGCTGCCCGACCGGCCAGGGGTCTCCAGCCTGGAAGGGTGAGAGCTGCTGTGCCCACAGCTTGGTAACAGCCCGGCAGCCGGGTGCCCCGCCGGTTCGGAATCCAAACGGCAAGCTGCTCCAGGCGGGCGGCATGTGCCCTCTGCAAGAGGGGGGGGTCTCACCAGGCTGGGCTTGCAGGGCTGGGGCATGGCCCCCGGGACTCACCGTCCTCCCGCAACGGTTGTTGTGCAGGTTCATCAGCGCCCGGGCGTCCTTCACCTTCTTCTCCTTGGCGTCCACAAAGGCCTTGGCAAACTTGATCCCGACGGCAAGCTGCTCCAGGCGGGCGGCATGTGCCCTCTGCAAGAGGGGGGGGTCTCACCAGGCTGGGCTTGCAGGGCTGGGGCATGGCCCCCGGGACTCACCGTCCTCCCGCAACGGTTGTTGTGCAGGTTCATCAGCGCCCGGGCGTCCTTCACCTTCTTCTCCTTGGCGTCCACAAAGGCCTTGGCAAACTTGATCCCGTAGTGGATGTTGTCGCTGCAGCCGCCCCAGCCGAACTCCCCCCCCTCCTCCCCGGCGCGGCCCCGCCTTGGGGGGGG